TCCTGGGTCTTTTGTTTTTCCATACAAAATTGATTATTGTTCTTTCAAGGTCTGTGTGCTGGGATTTTAATGGGGATTGCATTGAATCTGTAGATTGCTTTTGGCAGGATTGCCATTTTTACTACATTGATCCTACCTATCCAAGAGCATGGGAGATCTTTCCATTTTCTGAGGGCTTCTTTAATTTCTTTCTTTAAAGATTCAAAGTTCTTACGATACAGGTCTTTCACTTGTTTGGTTAGCGTTACCCCAAGGTATTATATGTTGTTTGTGGCAATTGTAAAGGGTGATGTTTCTCTGATTTCTTTCTCAGTCCTTTTATCATCTGTATATAGTAGGGCTACTGATTTTCTTGAGTTGATCTTGTAGCCTACCACTTTGCTGAAGGTGTTAATCAGCTGTAAGAGTTTCCTGGTAGAGTTCTTTGGGTCATTGATGTAAACTATCATATCGTCTGCAAACAGTGAAAGTTTGACCTCTTCCTTCCCAATTTGTATCCCCTTGATCCCCCTTTGTTGTCGTATGGCAATAGCTAGAACTTCAAGTACCATGTTGAAAAGGTATGGAGAGAGTGGACAGCCTTGTTTTGTTCCTGATTTTAGAGGAATTGCGTTGAGTTTCTGTCCAATTTAGTTTGATGTTGGCTGTTGGTTTGCTGTATATAGCTTTTATTATGTTCAAGTATGTCCCTGTTATCCCAGATCTCTCCCAGCACTCGGGAGGCAGAGTCAGGCGGATCTCTGTGAGTTCGAGGCCAGCCTGGTCTACAAGAGCTAGTTCCAGGACAGCCTCCAAAGCCACAGAGAAACCCTGTCTCTAAAAACCAAAAAAAAGAGGGTGGGTTTGGCTAATCTTGGCATGGACAGTTTCTGTAAGAGACAAGTCTTCAGGCAGTAAATATCTGGGTGGGAAGTGGGGGGGGGAAGCTATGGTGGACATTTTCTGCCACACAATCAGCACAGAAACTGGAGGAAGGTGTTATCTTTTCCCCATGGGTCTGAGGCTTTGGGGTCCTTGACATGGCCGAGCCCATGCCAACAATACACATCACCCAGGACCTCAAACACTCAGAGCTTCCTCGTTGCCCCAACACTGTTAGTAAAGATTTATAGTTTTTTCTCCTTATATCCAACCATTTGTTTATATCAGTGTGAACTCTTTTCAAGCTTTGATCTGAAACCTGTATTCTGTGCCAGGTGTGGTGGCTCACACTTGTGTTCTCATCCTTGGGACACTGAGGCAATGGGATTCAAGAGTTTAAAGCCAGTGTGGACTAGAGTTAGGCCCTGTCTAAAAATAAAATAATGTCATGAGAATTCTGCTGCAACAGGCAAGAAATGAAAAAAAAAAAACCTACCTGTACCAAGGCATTTACTTCAGAAAGGTTGCTTCCTTCCTTTCTTTTTCTCTTTCTTTCTTTTTCTCTCCCTCCTTCCTTCCTTTCTTTTTTTTATAAAACAGGTCTTGCCCTTAAGTTTGCTTATAAAAACAGCAGAGCATCATCTGTAAATACTGTGGAAGGCCATACCAGTCCATCTTCTCTTGCCTTAGCAGATAAAAAGAAGCCTTTTCTGTGGGGCCTGCACAGGGACCTGGGCATTTGGGGCAGGAATAGGAGCTGAAGGCTGGAGTTGGAGTCTCAGCCATGATTTGAGCCTTGAGCTATGGTTGGCAGAGCCTGCGACTCTTGACCATGCAGCCTCAAATCTGCTTCACAGATTTGGCATGGGCCATGAAAGTAAGACAACAGAGCTTGCACTTGGGGCTCTTGCATTTTGGCTCTAACCACCTTAGGCATCACAAGAGCCTCCGTAGCCTCTGCTCGTGCACTCCCTGCCTCTGCCTTGTTTGTCTGCATCTTCTTCAGGACCTTTTTATTGTCAAAGTGCATGTTCCTTGGGAACTCGGGATCAAGTCCCTTAAGAGATTCATATCTTTGTGACTGGGGTTTCTTGATGCCATTTCTATGACATTTTCAGGATTGGTATGTATAGTGTGGTTCTTGGACTCCTGAAGTGCCGGGAACCAGAAGAGAAAACCCAGGAAGAAAGCTCGTGCATTCTCTCTCTCTCTCTCTCTCTCTCTCTCTCTCTCTCTCTCTCTCTCTCTCTCTCTCTCTCTCTCTCTCTCTCTCTCTCTCTCTCTCCTCCTTCCTTCCCTCTCTCTCTCTCTCTTTGGTTTTTAAGACAGGGTTAGCCCTAGCTGTCCTAGAACTCACTCTGTAGACCAGGCTGCCTCAAACTCATAGAGATTCACCTGACTCTGCCTCCTGAGTGCTGGGATTCAAGGCATGTGCCACCACTGCCTGCCCAGGGAGATTTATTTGTTGTCACATAATTCCCTCTCTCATCTGTCTCTGCCTCTGTCTCTCTGCGTGTGTGTAGCATTTGTGTAAGTTCACTCTGTCTCTCTGCGTGTGTGTAGCATTTGTGTAAGTTCACTCTGTCTCTGTGCGTGTGTGTAGCATTTGTGTAAGTTCACTCTGCCTCTCTGCGTGTGTGTAGCATTTGTGTAAGTTCACTCTGCCTCTCTGTGTGTGTGTAGCATTTGTGTAAGTTCACTCTGCCTCTCTGCGTGTGTGTAGCATTTGTGTAAGTTCACTCTGCCTCTCTGTGTGTGTGTGTAGCATTTGTGTAAGTTCACTCTGCCTCTCTGCGTGGTGTAGCATTTGTGTAAGTTCACTCTGCCTCTGTGCGTGTGTGTAGCATTTGTGTAAGTTCACTCTGTCTCTCTGCGTGTGTGTAGCATTTGTGTAAGTTCACTCTGTCTCTGTGCGTGTGTGTAGCATTTGTGTAAGTTCACTCTGCCTCTGTGCGTGTGTGTAGCATTTGTGTAAGTTCACTCTGTCTCTGCGTGTGTGTAGTATTTGTGTAAGTTCACTCTGTCTCTGTGCGTTGTGTGTAGCATTTGTGTAAGTTCACTCTGTCTCTGTGCGTGTGTGTAGCATTTGTGTAAGTTCACTCTGTCTCTGTGGGTGTATGTAGCATTTGTGTAAGTTCACTCTGCCTCTGTGCGTGTGTGTAGCATTTGTGTAAGTTCACTCTGTCTCTGTGCGTGTGTGTAGCATTTGTGTAAGTTCACTCTGTCTCTGTGGGTGTATGTAGCATTTGTGTAAGTTCACTCTGCCTCTGTGCGTGTGTGTAGCATTTGTGTAAGTTCACTCTGTCTCTGTGCGTGTGTGTAGCATTTGTGTAAGTTCACTCTGTCTCTCTGCGTGTGTGTAGCATTTGTGTAAGTTCACTCTGTCTCTGTGCGTGTGTGTAGCATTTGTGTAAGTTCACTCTGTCTCTGTGCATGTGTGTAGCATTTGTGTAAGTTCACTCTGTCTCTGTGCGTGTGTGTAGCATTTGTGTAAGTTCACTCTGTCTCTGTGCGTGTGTGTAGCATTTGTGTAAGTTCACTCTGTCTCTGTGCGTGTGTGTAGCATTTGTGTAAGTTCACTCTGTCTCTGTGCGTGTGTGTAGCATTTGTGTAAGTTCACTCTGTCTCTGTGCGTGTGTGTAGCATTTGTGTAAGTTCACTCTGTCTCTGTGCGTGTGTGTAGCATTTGTGTAAGTTCACTCTGTCTCTGTGCGTGTGTGTAGCATTTGTGTAAGTTCACTCTGTCTCTGTGCGTGTGTGTAGCATTTGTGTAAGTTCACTCTGTCTCTGTGCGTGTGTGTAGCATTTGTGTAAGTTCACTCTGTCTCTGTGGGTGTGTGTAGCATTTGTGTAAGTTCACTCACCCACTTGGGCACATGTGGAGGTCAGAGGTGAACATCAAGAATCAAGATGTTTTCTTTAGTTGCTTCTCCACTTTATATTTTTGTTATTCTTTGAGAATTTCATACAGTATATTTTAATCATATTCACCCTACACATTGTTCTGTCTAACTCCTCCCGGATTCATATCTACTTCCTAATAACCCCCTAACTTTGTATCCTCTAGCCCATTGACTACAATGGTGCTGCCCTGGGTTTAAGGCCATTACTAGAGTGCGGCCAACCTACCAGGAGCCACACCCTTAAAAAACTTCCCTCTCCCTCCCCCAGAAACCGTCACGTGTCCACAGCTCCTCAGTTAGGAGGGACTCACGAGCCCCTCCCACTCCGTGCTGGAGTGTTGAGTGGCCACCGTGAGACATGAAGGATGCGGTTCAAAAGATGCTGTCCACTCTCACTCCTCATCTCTGGTTCTTAGACTTCCCACATCTTGACCTTTATGGCGGGTGTGGTGTAGATGTTCCGCTTGTGGCTGAGCACTCCGTTGGCACTGATTGTCTGGGCTTGACCAGTTGTGAGTTTCTTCATAGACTACGCTCCACCAGAGAAACTTCTCTGGTGAGGTCTGAGAACTTTACTAATCTGGGGGTAGAGAGATACAAATTTGTAGTGTGTTTTGACATTAAGTCCATTTTGCAGAATAATAGCGGTGGGTTCATCCTGGAACTTGAGAGCTCTCCATCCTTAAGTTCTTGGTCAGATTTATAGTACTAGACAGGTGTTTCCTTCTATGGAGCAGGTCTTTATATCCAAGCAGGAAGTAGTTGGTTATCCCTATAACATTCATGCCACTATTGTGCTCATGGATGCTAATTTTAAAAATAGGGTGTCTCACCGAACCCAGAGCTCATTATTTTTCACTATACTGGCTGATGGCCAGCCCCCTGCCTCTTTCTCGAAAAACCAAAAAAAGAAAAGAAGGAAAAAAAAAAAGAACAGCAAGCACTCCAGTCCCTCATCATACTTCCTTGTACTCTGGAGGACTGTCTGTCCAGGGTGGTGCTGCCCCTCGGTGTCACGGGCCCTCCCACATCAATTTTGACCAAGAAAATGCCCTGCAGACTTGCCTACAAGCCAATCTGATAGAGGCATTTTCTCAATTGAGTTTCCTCTTTTCAGATAACTGTAGTTTGTGTCAAGTTGACAAAAACTAACCCAAGGCTACCCAGTCCTTATTATTAACTAGATTATTTTTATCTTTCATCTGAGACCATGTTAATGTTAATTCTTTATTTCAGAGCCATCATCAATCATTTTAATCCCAAAATTGAGTCCTACGCTGCTGTGAATCACATATCTCAACTCTCGGAAGAACAGGTAAGTCACTCCTCTCCCTGGGATGACCTCGATGGTGGTGTCTCCTTCTGGTAATGGGATTGTGATAAAGTCAGACTGCTGAGAAGAGTTAGTACAAGACTTCTTGATGGGTCTTTAAATAGAGTAATACCTTCTTCATTTGTGTCATCTCAAGGATTTGTTTAACTATATAGAGACTATGAGGTGAAATGTGATGAGTTGCTGCCTTAGCAGGTGATAAAAATACTACTTTTTAAGCGCTCAGTCACAGTCATTTTGATTTCTGAAAGTCAGAAATGTCAACATGATGATGCACACCTGTAATCCTAGCACTTGGAAGGTGGAAACAGGAATGCAGAGTTATCCTAGGCTACATAGTGAGTTCAAGGACAGCCTGGGCTTCATGCCACCCTGTCTTAAGAACTAACATAAAAAAAAAAGGCATGAGAACTTAGAAATTAATGTAAATTCCAGCCACAGGAAAACTTTGAGTTCAGCTTAATCTGAACATATGTGGTTCATTAGAGCATAAACTTGTTGAGATAGATTTTCTTTAGTGATTGAGCTCTCTCTCCCTTGAACAGTTATTTCTGGACAGATTTTTCTGTGATATTGTCAGAGTTGAAGATGCATATAGCCTTGTACCTTTGTTTCCCTTGAATCTGGCTTGATTCCCCTTCTCCCTTATTACCTGTACTCAGCTCTGCATTGTATAAAAGTACAAATGGGGACTCAGCATGGCATAGAGTTGGACCTGACGTTTCCTTCTGAGGTTCTTTTTCTTTTTAAATAAGGGTGGGTTTTGTTGTTGTTGTTTTGTGGGGGCAGTTTTGTTTGTTTGCTTGTTTTCCAAGACAGGGTTTCTTTGCATAGTCCTCCCTGTTCCTAGAACTCCGTCTGTAGACCAGGGTGGCCTCAGATTCACAGAGTTCGCCTGCCTTTGCCTCCCAAGAGCTGGGAATAACAGAATGTGCCACCACTGTCCGGCTTAAATAAAGGTCTTTACTGGAATAATAATTGATAAGTGCATAACTTTATATAAAACTTCTCTTTACAAAGGAAAAAAGACATGAAACCAGGGTTGCACAGCCTATGTTGGCTATATGAATGTACTCGTATAGCTAAATTCACTGTGTAGCTGAGGGTGACCTTCAGCCCCTGGCTCTCCCGCCTTCACTCCCAAAGCAGGTTTGCCCCACCTTGCTGTTTCATTCTGAGGCTTTTGAGTTTTGTAGCAAAAGCACACAACAGGCTGATGAGGAGAAGTACTTGAAGTACTTGGTACTCAAGCATGGGAATCCATCTCAAACACCCAGGATACACACAAAAAGCTAGGTAAGCCTGTAAACCCAGCTTTAGGAAGGCGAGGTAGGCAGAGCTTGCTAGCCAGCCAGTTGAATAGGTAAGCTCTAAGTTCAGTGGAGCCAACACACACACACACACACACACACACACACACACACACACACACACACACACACACACTAGAAGCAGTTGAAAAAAGACACGAGTTGTGAGCCTGTGTCCTCCACACGTGCTCACTTGCACACACCCACAATAGATAAACACCTGAGCACCTGATTCTCCTTTCTTGCTTCCCATTGTTCTAAGTTGGAAAAGCCAAGGGATAAATTCCAAACTAGTGAGACCATGTATGCTCTGTTCTCCCTCCTCGCCAGCTCGTCATGGTAGCTCTTCTGGGTGTTACTGGCAGGGTCAGCCAGCAGTTGTGTTATGACCATGTGTGCAGTGTTCTTGAGAGCTCTTCAGTCCACCCAGTGAGGCAGCAAGCAAGCCTTTTCCTGACAGAGCCTCCTCAGTGCTCCCCCAGTGGCTCTTCATGCAGCCAGATGGGTAGCATTCTAGAGTCTGTCAGTTGTCTCTTGTGAAGCCAGCTGTGTGACCCCACCCTCATACCTGCAGCTTCCTCTCGAGACTGGGGCTGTGTGTGAGGTATTTGTTGACGTGCCCTTTTCCGATTGGACCAGTTCATGTTAACTCTACTGTGTCAATTTTATACGGAACGTTCTGTGTATTGTGCTCTGTATGTTAAGGGAAGGGGACGTTCCTACCACTGTAAGCTCTGGATAGCCTGAAAGCCATGTTCTCTCCAAGTAGCAGCCACCAACCCATAATAAAAACGCACTGTGGTGCGTGAGGGAGTCAGGAAAGGAAAGATCAGCAGGATGCACCCCTACCCGCTTTCATCGTCTTTCAGAGTTAAAAGTGATGGACGGGGTTTTCTGAGTCCTCTGGCATGCATGAGGTCCTGATTTCATTCCCAGTACCACCCAAGTGGGAGGGGCCCTCAGTGACCTGCTCACTCTGTAAGTAGTCAGGAGCAGCCTGCCACACTACATAAGGGCAGGCAAGGCCAAGGTGCAAAGTCACAGAGTTACTGTGTGCTCACATGCTCATTGCCGCTAACGGTACTGTTATCCCAGGACTCCGCTCTCAAAATAGTCGTTTCTCTTCCCCAACTGCCTCTGAAGCTGCTAACTGACAGCGTTATGGTGTACTTGTTTTTATCAGATTAGAGGCATTTGACTGCCTGTCTATCTCCCTCATGTGGAGTACTTCTCTCCCTTCACTTATGAACATTAATACTAATGTCACAATGTCAAGAGTATTTGCAGCTTCCCAAAGAGCTGGCTTTGGGAGAAGTAAGGCCCTGCAGCTGTTAGCAGCTATCTTAGTAGGGAGGGAAAAGAAAAAAAAAAAAAAAGCAAAACAGGATTAAAATCCCTAGTAGATTCTGAAATAAAACTTAGAGCCTGTTAATGGATATTAGCTGGGATTTACAGCATTTAGCAAGTTAGGTAAATAGTGCTGGTCCTTTGCTAGTTCTGCCTGCCCAGCTCGTCATTTTGTTCCTACGAAGATTTGTGAATCCTTGGTTTTAAAGCCAGGCTTACACTCTGTACAGCCTGGGCTAACCTGGGACTCACTATGTAGCCCAGACTGGCCTTCAGCTCACAGATTTCTCTTGCTTCAGCCTCCTGGTGCTGTGTGTTAGAGACAGGAGCCACTGTGACCACCTAGCTTTGTGAAGGCTTTTGAAGATTTTTTTGTTTTTTGTTTTTTTTTTGTTTTTCGAGACAGGGTTTCTCTGTGGCTTTGGAGGCTGTCCTGGAACTAGCTCTTGTAGACCAGGATGGCCTCAAACTCACAGAGATCCACCTGCCTCTGCCTCCCGAGTGCTGGGATTAAAGGCGTGCGCCACCAACGCCCAGCACTTTTGAAGATTTTTATTTTAATAAATTTAAATGTTTTGTATATACGATGCATTGTGGGACATTGTTGTAGTCCCTGCATTCAGGAGATGGAGGCTGGAGGGTCAAAAGTTCAAGACCAGCCTTAGCTACTGAATTTTATCTCAACACAATTAAATTAAAAATAGTTTTGTTCTCTTTCTGTCATTTCTGAGGAGGCAGCCCCGTCTGTCTCTGTCTCTGTCTGTCTCTCTTGCCTTCCCTTATACCCTTACCTCCCCGCCCCAATAAACTTTCCACATTAAAAAAATTTTTTTAAGCTAGATGCACTGTCGTACTCCTTTAATCCCATAGGCAAGCTGATTTCTGTGAGTTCAAGGTCAGCTTGGTCTAGGACAGTCAGAGCTACAAAATAAGACCATATCTCAAACAAAACAACAAAGGGGCGGGGTACTATCAGTGATGAAACTCTGAGATGTGGCTAATTTTTAGAACACCTTGAAAAGATTACCCTTCAGGCCCATTAACCACCCTCAGCTAAGACTCAGCTGGTGTCTCTCCTTGGTATAGCTTGGTAGTGAAGACCCACTCCTGCTAGGAGGATCATTTGATACACCAGAAAACTTGATCATCAAGGAAGACAATTCTCAGCCGCTGTCACTGGTGCTGATGCCTACAATCCCAGCCTGCAGGAGGATGGTGGTTTGAGGCCAGCCTAGGCTATAGAGTGACACTGCCAGCATACATGTCAACATGAGGGCTTCCTGACTCACAGCTACTTTCCTTCTCATTCATTACTAGAACACTCTCCTTTTAAAAGTACCACAGAAAGGTCAGCCTTCTAAAATTTAGTCTCCAGCCTGCTTCCGCTAGTGCACTGACCCTGATCTTCATTTCCATAGGATAGTTGTCATACAACCTATGATTTATTGAAAAATCTTAGTGAACATTCTATCTGTACTAAATTAATGTGAGTTAGCCAGGCAGTGGTGCACACGCCTTTAATCCCAGCACTTGGGAGGCAGAGGCAGGTGAAAGGTGGATCGATGAGGGTTCGAGACCATCCTGGTCTACAAGAGCTAGTTCCAGGACAACCCCCAAAGCCACAGAGAAACCCTATCTCAAACACACACACACATACACACACACACACACACACACACACACACACACACACGTGAGTTGAAGACATACAATAGAAACCCCTCCTCCCCTCTACCCAGGCTTCACACACTTAAGCAAGTGCCCTGCCACTGCTCTACATTCCCATCCCCCTTGCTACTTTTTGTCTTGACATAGGGTCTAATAGGTTTTGTTTGTTTGTTTGTTTTTCTTCCTTTGGTTGGTTGGGTTTGGGAGTTTTGTTTGTTTTGGGGGGGTTAGCTGTTGTATGTTATTGTTTGTGTGGGGGACTTGGTTTTGGTTTGGTTTAGATTTTTGAGACAAGGTTTCTCTGTTTAACAGCCCTGGCTGTCCTAGAACTCACTCTGTATACTAGACTGACCTGAAGAACTCACAGAGATCTAACTACCTCTGCCTCCCAAGTGCTGGAATTAAAGGTGTGTGCCACCAACACCCGGCTGCTTATACTTATACTGTTCTTTAACTCCAGACAAGCTGCAGCCTCCTTCATGCCTGGGAATACAAGCCTGTGCCAGCAGATGTCACTTGATGTTTAAGAGAAATCCTTAAGGGCTGGAGAGATGGCTCAGCAGTTACACACACTGGTCGCTCTTCCACGGGATCTGGGTTCAATACCCACATGGTAGCTCACAATCATCTGTAACTCCAGTTCTAGGGGATTCAGTA